GGGGGCATGGCCCGCCACGGCCACCAAACCTCCAGGCTGAAATCATCCACGGCCCGTCCGGCCGGGGCCCGGGGCCCGTCCCAGCCATATGGCTGGGGGGCTCCGGGGCCCGTCTGTGGCGACGGCTCGGAGCTCTGGGGCCCGTCCGGCAAAGGCTGGGGGATCGATCCTCGGAAGCCCGCCCGGCTACGAGCTCCGGGGCCCGCCCGGCCAAGGCCGAGGGCTCTGCAGCCCGTCCGGCTGAGGCTGGGGGACTCTGCAGGGCCCGTCCGGCTAAGGCTGGAGCATTCCGAGGCCCGTCCGGCTGGGGCTGGGGGCTCTTTTGAACCCGTCAGGGTAAGCCTCATGGAAGCTATGGCTTGGGGCTCCGGGGCCCGTCCGGCTAGGGCTGCGGGGGCTTGGGGCCCTCCCGGCTAAGGCTGGGGGGCTCCGGGGCCCGTCCGGCTAAGGCTGGGGACCCTGTGGCCCGTCCGGCTAAGGCTGGGGGGGCCTGGGGCCCGTCCGGCTACTAAGGCTGGGGATCGAACTCTGGGGCCTGTCCGGCTACGCCGCGGGGCTCCGGGGCATGTCCGGCTAAGGCTGGGGGGCTCAGGGTCCGTCTTGGCTCTTTTGGGCCCGTCTTGGGATAGGGGGCTCCAGGACCGCCCGACCAATTTGGACGCCCGAAATGGGCACGGAAAGAATGGGTACAATGCCCAACAACAAATGTTGTCCCAAACCAGCAAGTGCGACCGAGTCCTCTGCTGGCAAGCGGAAATGGGAATTTGATGGCGCCAAGTTGAATGCAAGGCGGGCCGCCCTTGCCTGGCCCCCGGCTGGCCTGCTGGCCCAGTTCGCCTCAAATAGGCCGTTCGTAACTTGACGGCCATGCGCCTGGGGTGTCTTCTCCGCGCAAAGATGGGTGCGCGGGGCCCGCGGTCCACCACTCTGACGGCCGTCGCCCCCGAATCCTCGATCCTCTCGACGTTGGCCTTCGCCTCGGGGGAGGGGCCCGGGCAGTCCCGCGACTGGCGGCAGAGAGAGCTCGGGTCGAGTGACCAGCTCCGCCAACTCTATGCCGTCACTCGAGAGCGTCGAAGCGGCCAACGCCCGGGCCTTCGGCGGCCCGGGCCCCAGCCCTCCGAACTTGACCAGCGAGGCCCTGTAAGCCCCGTCGAGTTTGCAGCTCGTCTGGGTCATCCGCAGCTCGCGGGGCCAGTGGTGAGGGGCGTCGCACTCTGCTGGCGAATCGCCGACGTGCCGCTCCATGGACTGCTCGATCACGCGGAGGCCGGCGTCCCAGGCCTCCGCGGGGTTTACCTGCCGCGCCCCAGCGAGGTGCTGATAATTGAAACACGTAGCGCTCGGCCCCAGCCTCGCCGGCCGCGGCCCCCGCCCCGGCCCCCGGGCCCCACAAAAAGCGCCCAAAAGACGCCCCGCCCTCGAGAAGGTCGGCGGCGCTGGCCGTGAGGCAAATTGCACTGATTATAAGAAGGCCCGCGGCGCTCGGGAAGGTCCAAACCGCCGCCGTGCACTGTTGGGCCCGCGCTTTCAAAGCGGGCGACCAGTTCGACGTTCCTTGGGGCCCTTTGCCAGGACGGAAAAAAATGCCAACTCACGTGCCGGCGCGGGCAAGATGTCGCGCGGCCTCCCGCTCTTCTGGCGCGCCGCCGCGCGGGGGCCCCTCTGCGAACTCTCCAATGGTAGTGCGCATGTCCCTTGCGCTGGTCAGAAGGCCCAGGCCGATCTACGTCGTCGCGACTCTCCTGGGCCCACAGCGGCAGTGGCGACTCGCGAGCCGGCCTCTCCCGCGCCTCAGCGGTGGGGCGGCCTCTTCGCTGCCGACGGCCGCGCCGAGCAGCGTTGTCTCGGCTGGCCCGGGCGACGCGCCTCGCCGGGTCTCCAGTCCACGGGGCGCCCCGCGGCCTGGCCTTGTCCTTCACCACCTTCGTTGCGATCCTTTCCTCGCGGTGCTTCCTCTGCCCCCCTGCCCGCGCGGCGTAGCCGCGCGCGAGCCGCCGCCCGCGCTAGCGCGGGCGATCCGCCCGCTGGCCTGGGGGGGTCGGGCGATCTGCCAGCGCTGGCAACCCGCGCCCCGGCCGCGGCGAGGCGGCTCGGCGTGGCCCGGGGCGACCAGGAGTGCCGCGCGCAGGGCGGCGCGCAGGGGAGCGGCCGCGAGGTGGCCGAACTCTGAGCTGATTGCGATCGGAAGCAGCACCCCCGACGGTGCCGACGTCCAGGACGGACAATGCTCTGCCGTCCGGGCCCCCGCCGCGGCTGGGGCCTGCAAGGCGGCCGGCCGAACTCTCGCCGCCGCCCGGCTAGGTTCCTAACCGGCCGCGCCTCGGCCGCCGTGGCGACCCGTGAGCTGGGCCATGCGCGCGTCCGCGGCCTCGATGTCCGCGGCCAGCTCCTCGTCCTCAAATGACAAGCCCAAGCCGCCGCTGTCGGGAAATATCAGCTCGAACCTCTTCGCAGTCGTGAAATGCTCATATCGAATGGTATTAGTTCTGCAAACCTCTGTTGCGGCATAAGGTCTATTCCAAATTGAGCATTGGTTGGCCAAGTACAATGAAGTCGGCAGCGCCTGTAAACGTGCGAAGTTCTCACAATCGTTCCTCTCGAACCTCTCTGATGGGGCGCGCTGGTTCCAGGATCCTGAACAGGAGCTTCACTGCAACGGGGCTGAATATGCTCAGCGCAGCGCCACCGTCCCCATCGTCCAAGAACCTCGCCATATTCCCATGTCCCTCTCGGAAAATCGACCAAGGAATGTCTGACATATCTTCTTATAGGCAGGGCGGCGCGCAGCCACAAGGCGAGTTCCTGGAACCTGCTCCCCATCACTGTCCATGGTCAGCTGCTCGTCGTTCTACCTTTCTCCAAATACGAGACCAGCGTGCGCACGATAGCGTTCTCATCCGTTTCCTCGGGGAACTCTTGCATTCGGCTGCGGCGCAGCCGTCATGGTCTGGCCCGTGATCCGAAACTGCGCTACCTCGACGAGCGTAGCTTTCTTCTTGGCCGCCGCGGGCGGGGCAGCCGCGGCACACCCCGCAGCTCCGCCCCAGGCTAACTCCAGCCTGCTTCGCAACTGGTCCACGCGGTCTCGGCACTTCCCTGTCTTCTGATCTCTGCCAGCTTTCCCTGCCAAATCCATTAGTGTCCGCTCAAGCTCCTCGAAGGCATCATGGTTCTCTCGTTCTCCTCCTCAGCGTCGCCTTCGGCCCGAGCCCCCCCGCCTGGAGCCACTGTTGCTGGCCACTTCCTGGCAGGGCCAGGGCTGACGTCGTCGTCGTCGTCGTGCAGCGGTAGCGCGTTGTCAGCGGGAACCCCGCTCTCGACCGCCGCGGCCGCCACGTCGGCTTGCAATGCACGGAGGTCCCCGTCGACCTGCAGTTGTTCCATGTGCAAGTCGGCCAGGTGCGCTGCAGGCATCCTCACCAGTCTGTTCTTTCCATCTGCGAATGGACCCACCAGCTGAAGTACGGTTCGCCTGTGCCAAACTACTCGACCTCGATCGTAGCTTGTCTCTTCTGGGCGACTGGCCATCACCCGCCTGATAACGCCCAAGCACTGTGCCAGCGTCCTTCCCGCCCGCGTGAAGAACAGGATGATTTGACACAGTCGCCTTCCGCCAGCGCTGGCGTACCAGCAGCAGCCATGCAGGGCGTCGAATGACCTGGCGGGCAGGCCCGCTAGGGGAAGGTGGCGAAAGGGTGTGTGTGTGTGTGTGTGAGAGAGTGTGTGTTTGTGTTTGTGTGCTCCAACCGCTTGAGCCACACACCTACGGAGACGGGGGTGCTATGACGAAGGACCCCAAACACCCTCTCAACCCTCTGGGTGTTACAATACAGAGTGTAGGTACAGATGTAATGGAAGTACATCTGTATATGTGTATGCATGTCTATATATACAGAGGTACGTACATGTTTGGGGAATCTATACATATATACATATACACAGCCAGATATTAAGCTACGGACGTTGGGTTTGGGAACGCACCAGCTTTACGGCTCAACGCTGGCGGATGCCGTCGACGAGCGTGCTCCTCGGGCCTGGCCCAAGGTTCCTTGTGGCGCGCGCCAGCACGGGGTCCCAGCCAGACCCCTGGCGTATGATCGAGAATCGGCCGTCGTGTGGAGGGAGGGAAGGGAGGAGGTCGAGGAGGGGAGACAAAATGAAATCATGGTGGTCAGCAGGGGGTGGAGCGGGACGGAACGGAATGCCCTCATGGGAGCGTGTGCCACACTGACCGACTGTTTGAAACAAGTGCTCAATGTCTTTACCCGATGCCTCGTCTATATGGATCCTCTCCGCGAGCGCCGCAATGCGTTGCCGATGAGATGGTGCTGCCCCTGCTGCCGTTGACTCGCCGACGTGGAGGAATCAGACGTGCTCGACAGAACTCGTTCGGAAATGTCCCCCAATGCAGCGAGAGGAGGTCGAGGAGGGCGGGGGGAAAGACGACGATGTCGCGAATCCACAAAACATAAACGTGGGAGCTTCCGCGAATCCATCTAGAAGGCTACGCGGCTTGCCCAAGAAAGCTTGCGGGACCGCTGCCTGGGCCGTCGTAGGTCCACACAACTATAAATACCAACTGCACCGAGTGTCCGCGAAGTGACGGGCAGGATGAGGCAACCCATGGCAAGGCAAGCTCAAGCACGAAACCAAAGAACGCAAGACATTTCGATCTTCACAAGGGCCTGCTGGGGAGCGTCTTGAGCCTTCTTGGGGGCCCCACCCTTCCCTCACCCCTCCACCTATACCTTCCCCCTCGCCCCCATCCCCTCTACGGCTTCCCGTGCCCCCTCTTTCCTCCCCCCCCCCATCCTTCCCACCTCCTCCCCCTGTGCCCCTTCAACACGGACTTTCTCTCTCTGCTGGGAGGAGGAGTCGGCGAATGATAGAAGCAGGCATCAGGGGTTTAGATCAATGGGCGGAGGAGGAGGAGGAGGAGGAGGAGGAGGAGAACAGCCAGGAAGAGGAGGAGCAAACGGAGCAGGAGGCGGGCCAGCCTGTTCAATCTTGGCCTCGTCCCACCTCCTTCTCTGCGCGGCATGGTAGATGTACGAATCTGGTCCCTCATATTTGGCCTCCGCAAAGAGGACAATTGATCATGACTGGAAGAGGGAGGGGGGGAAAGGACGCTGAGGGGGAGGAAGCCGTGCTTCGACATCGTGCGAAGTTTATGGCGTCATGGACATCTCAGGGCAAGAATTCTCGAATCCATCTTCATGCCTGGTTTCTAGAGCTGGGTCAGTACAATGCCGTTACCAACATTTTGACCATTTCGTCGACGGACCCCCCCTCCCCCCCGTAGAATCCTACAACATGGCATCCGCCTGTCGCGGAGTAGGTTTCGGATCCCGCCCACACCGCTTCTCCGTGGCCTTATAGATTTATTACGGTGTACAAACTTACTCCGCAAGTTTGTTGACGTGGATTAACTTACTCCGCGTTCTTTCTGAACTTACTCCGCGTTGTGCTTTAGCTGACAGCAACATACTCCGCGTCCTCCGAAACTTACTCCGCCTGTGTTTTACGAGGGTGAGCGGCTTCAGATCTGCATGGGCATATGTCCGTCTTTCAGTATTGCCCGAGGGCGCGCTGGCCGCAGGTCCGGCCACGGGATTTGCAAGAATTGTCAAACACTTCAGTAACGGCAGAGTATGTGAGTGCCCTCGGGCTCCAGGTGATACGAAGGATGCTGTGTGCCAGATGTTACCCGCTACCGTGTCTGCACGATGTGGGAACATCAGGATGCCACGTGCTGCCCTGTAGGGCATTTGGATTCAAATGAAGGAGCCCCCTCTAGTCGCAGACACGTGCATGCATAATCCCTGCACCCGAGGCCACGACCCCTCGCAAACATCTAATAGGCAAAATCTGGCTCGAAGACGGAGCGATGTGGCCCCACGGCGGCCGGATGTGGCCTCATGGCGGCCCAAGATGCCTCCAACAGGGCCCAAACGGGCCCCAAGAGGGCCCGAAGAAGCCATCATCATTGTCTTCCCTTTTTAGCGTGGAAAACATGTTCTTCGCATTCTCGCCATTGGGCTTCCGTCAGCTGAAGACGGCCCAAGAAACCTCCACGATGGCCGTACATGTGCCCAAGGCGCCCCCACAAAGGTCCAAAGAGGGCCCAAGAGGACCCCACGAAGGCCCAAGATGCATCCAAGACGGCCCCAAGACGGCTCAGGAGGGCTTCCCGTGGGACCCAAGACGGCCTTAGAAGGCCCTTGGACTGCCCAAGACTGCGCTAGGACGCCCCCCAGGCACCCACGTTGCTGCCAAGAGGGCTCAAAGACGGCCCAAGATATCCCCAAGACTGCCTAAGAGGGCCCCAAGACGGCCCAGAGGGCCCCAAGGGACCCCCACGACTGCCTCACATGAGGCCATGACAGCCACAAGACGGCCTAAACGAGTTTCATAAGAGCTCCTCCCATAGTGAAGACGGAAGCTGTCCCGTGTGACAGTCTTTCACTTTCTCCTCCTCCTCCTCCTCCTCCTCATTATCATCAGCATCAGGAACAGAGCATCATCGCCAAGGCTCTCCCAAGCCTGGAGGCACGAGTTATCGCACGTGACGGCCTCCCGTGCCCCCTCGAACAGTCGCCACCCAGAGCGCTGTGCTGGCACGGTGGCGGGACTTGCCGTAGTCGGCTGGATCCGCCGCCCCCTGTTGATTCATCACAGGGGTGCCTGGCGTGCTAGACTATGACGGTTTTGGTTTTAGTTCTTTTTCCAAAAGAACTCTCCCAATGGGCTCCGGCGCGTCTCGCCGGGGTCTTGGGAGAGGTGGCTGCAAACGGTTTCCCTGCCCCTGACGGCCCCAAGACGGCCCAAGATGGCCTAAGACGTCCCCCAAGACGGCCAAGATGGCCTCCAAGACGGCTAAGATGGCCCAAGATGCCTCCAAGATGGCCCAAGATGCACCCAAGACGGCCTAAGATGGCCTCAAGATGGCCCACAACGGCCCAAGAGGCTCCCAAGAGGCCTCCAAGACGGCCCAAGAGGCCTCCAAGAGGTCCTCAAGAGGCCAAACTCATTGATTGTCCTTAGGTTTTTGAAGGATTTTGGCATTTGCTTCTTCTCGGCATTCCGACGGCTCCAGACAGCCCAAGCGGCCTCCAAGGCGGCCCGCCCCAAGAGGGCCCCAAGACGGCCCAAGAGGCCTCCAACACGCCCAAGATGGCCTCCAAGACGCCCAAGATGGCCTCCAAGACGGCCCCGAAGCGCCCCAAGAGGGCCCCAAGTCGGCCCAGAAAGGCCCCCAAGACGGCTCCCGACAGCGTCAGACGTGCCAGGAACCCACCAAGATGGCTGAAGTAGGCTCGAAGCTGGCCCAGGACGGCCCAAGAGGCCCCCAAGAGGACCTCCAGGAAGGCCAGAAGAGGCCAAACACCTTGATTTGTCTTGGGTTTTTGACGGATTTTGACATTTACTTTTTTTCGGCCTTCTGACGGCCCGAGACGGCCCAAGAGCCCCCAAAGATCGCCAAAAGATCGCCCAGGAGGCCTCCAAGATGGCCCCAGAACGGCCCAAGAGGGCCCCAAGACTGCCCCAAGAGGCCCCCAAGACGGCACAGGAGGCCTTTAAGACGCCCAAGATGGCAACCAAGACGGCCCTGGAGCATTCCAAGAGGGCCCCAAGTCGGCCCATAGAGGCCCCCCAAACGGCTTCTGACGGCGTCAGATGGACCAGGAGCCCACCAAGACGGCCGAACATGGCCCTAAGATGGCCCAAGACGGCCCAAGAGGCCTCGAAGAGAGCCTCCAGGAAGGCCCAAAAAGGCCAAAATTGTGAAGGATTGTGACATTTGCTTTTTTTCTGCCTCCCGTCGTCCCGAGACGGCCCAAGTGCCCCCAAAGATCACCGAAGAGGCCCAAGAGGCCCAAGACACGGCCCCAAGATGCCCCCAAGACGGCCCAAGAGGTCTCCAAGACGCTCAAGATGGCCTACAAGACGGTCCAAGCGCCCTCCAAGACCTCCTCCAAGAAGGCCCGAAAGGGTCAAAATGGCCTCCAGACGGCCAAGATGACCTTCAAGATTCAAGATGCCCACGTGTTCCCCGAAGGCTTTCCAAACCGATTCGGCGAACACATGGTCCGATAGCTTGGCAGGTCTGGCCTCAACGTTCGGCCACATAGGCGCTTCCAAAAAGGCAGGGGGCGGCGGTGATTCGCCGTAGGCGTCTTCGATATCCTCTTCGGGCCTTTCAGAATGCTCCCCAGCGCCCTCGGGCCCGACCCGCTGGCACCTCACACCACCCCAAAATCAAGAACACGCGCATCCAACGTGGTCGATATGGCCTCACATGGTATCCAGGCTGCCCCACAGCGGCAACACATTGCCCCGAAGACTGCTGCCAAACATGGTCCCCGATTCGGCCACGTCGGTGCCTCGAGAAAGACAGTGGGCGGTGGTGACTCGCCGCGGACGTCTTGGGTGAACACCCTGAGCGGCAATTGCAGAACGACTTGGGGGCAAACGTGGGACAACCGCACCGCACAGCCGTACGGGACAACCGCACGGAGAGCCGCCCAGGACCACCGCTCGGGACAAGTGCACGGGGCGGCCGTGGAACAACCGAGGGGCACCCGGCGCGCCACCGCCGGACAGGCACACGACACCGTGGTGTCGAGCTTGGCCCAGCCTCCAATCAATGATTCCCTCTCGCCTGCACGCGCAGCTTCGCCTCGCCCGCACGCGCGTCACGGCATGACTCGAACCGACGTCGAGTCCGATCTCCGACCGGTGCGGTGGGGGCTCTCAATTTAAAACTTCGGTCGCCACACCTCAGAACCTGCAAGGCATATGCGCAATCGTGGCCGAAAGCCAGCGCTTGCGAATAAACGCAGAAAGATAAAACCGTGCGCAAAAAACAATTACGCATGATCGAACTCACGCCGCATCAACATGCGCATAATGATGACCAAACGCACGAACGAATACATCCACATTCACACACGCGACACACACTCGCACGAATGTGTACAGCAATAGGGATCAACGTGAACACAGTCGCATGCAAGGGCATTCGCACCTGTGTGACAGCGGGGGTTACTCAATGAGGCACATAAGCACCTTTAAAGCCTGACCAACTTGGAGGCACCTCTGTTTTTTCTACAGTTCGTTGTCGCGCGAACGGCGCGTGTCTAGCATGGCTCAGCGCGGACTCAACTAGGCATGCGAAAAGTCCGCTGCCGAATCCACCTGCACACATTCCCGCCGACTCCAACTCTGCTCAATCTCCCTCTTCTTCCCCTGTGAAGCCTCTTACACCCCACAGCTGGGAATGAGGCGTGCCGCCAGTGGAGAGGCGCGTTGAGGCCCGTTGAGGCCCTGATCTTCAGGCGGCAACTTAACAATTGCAGCTGTCAAGAGCTTGCACGACATCGCGGGAACGTTCAGTGTGCTGCCGGCTCAAGACGAAGACAACACAATATTGAAATGGAACCCACGGCTACCTCGTTCGTGGCCGAGGCACGTCACACCCGCTGGACGTCTGCAGCGCTGAAGGAGGTAGAGGACGGATGCGAAGATCAGGCCCTCCACAACGGCAGTGACTGCATGCGTGGGCCGCAAACAATACGCGCACTCAGTGTGGTCTATGTGGTGTGAGATGTGAGGTGTAAGCTATGTGGGCAATCTATGAGGTGCAATCGATTTGGTGTGAGCTAGACGGTGTAGGCTGTGTGGTACAATCTCTGTGATATGAGCTCTGTGCTGTAATACATGTGGTGCAACATGTGTGATGTGAGGTGTGTGGTGTAAGATATGTGGTGCACAAGACAAACGGTGCATCACACGCAGTGCAATACATCCAGTGCGATCTATGTTGTGTAAGCTAGGTGGTGCACTCTATGTGCAGTGAGCTTTGATATGTGGGCTACGCGGTGTAAGCTATTTGCTGCACTCTCTTTGCCATGCGGGGTGCAAGCTGTGTGGTGCAGTCTATGTGGTACAAACTATGTAGCGTATGCACGTGGCGCCCACGAAGCGGCCACGGGTGGCGACGTGGCGAAACCTCGGCGGACACATCCAGCGCACGGGGCTCCCACGAAGCGGCCACGGCCGGCAACGTGGCGAAATCTCGCCGGACCCACCGAAAGCACGAAAGTGCCACGGGCGGCAACATGGCGAAACCTCGCAAGACCCCCCCAACGCACGAATCGGCAACGAGCACGAAGCGGCCACGAGTCGGCAACGTGGAAAATCATCGCCAGACCCATCCAATCTTTCAGTCACGGAAGTAAGAACCTCTACGTACAAGCACTGATAGGGGAAGTTTCGCTTACAGCGGCCTGAACTGCGACGCTGCAACTGACTGTGGCTTGAGGACTGCTGGCGGCACCTTGAGCAAGGAGCCGACACTCAGCATCGTCTCGCCGATCCCCATCCCGACTGGGCTAGGGCATCCCAGCTCCACCAGCCCGTCTCCCCAGGTGGGGTTAGGGCCCTTGGAACCCGCACGGAGCAGCACATATCATCATATGTCCCCGCGCGTTGAATTCAGAAAAACATGAAGAACAGCGGAATACTGTGGCGCTCTCTAGTGTCAGGCCGAGCGTGTGACGTCCTGTGTGCGGCGCGCGGCGGTCGGATCTAGCGGATCTGAATCCACGCACGCCGATTTGGCACAGGGGGGCTATTCAGCCCCAACGTAATCCAGCCTACCTAATTATGTTTATGAGGCCCCAGAGCAGGCAAGCTGTTGAAATCACGGTTAACTTCAAAATTATACAAGTATTGGGGAAATGTGGAATCGCAAAGCGGGTTAAGCATGAGTGTGAGTTTGCCCCGATTTGGAAATTTGAAAAACGTTTGTCCAGGTATGACAAGTTTGGGAACCGTGAAACATTGGAAGACAATTTGAAAATATGTTGAACAAGTTCGCCCTGATCGGGAAGCTTGGATCAGTTAAAACAAGTCTGAGAAAACCCGCTTGGATTCGGAAAATGGAAAGTCAGAAAAAGTTTGAAAACAGTTCGCCCGAATGTGGAAGCTTGACAACAATTAGAAAAAGTTTGAAGCATATTCGCCTGGAGTTGGAAATTTAAATAAGCGAAAACAATTGAAACAAAGATAACCCAGATACATTTTGAAACATCTGCTAAAAACACATGAGAAACCGTGTGAACAATAATGAACAGTCTATTCGTAACTTCCACTCTGTTTTCATACGTTTATGCATCTGTTTCTCACACTCGTACTCCCACTTTGCTTTGATGCCACACTTTTAGTATACTTCGAGAATCTCGCGCACTGTCAAATGCTTGCTTGCTCTGGGCGACATAAGACTATGGCAGCGCTGTCGGCCCTGGCTCGATATGAGGAGACAAAGCTGTTGCAGAGAACTGAGCATCCGTATCTAGTGCATGCTTTTGCGCGTGTGATTGACACGCTCGCAGAACAAGTGCGCCGCTTACGTACATGTAACTGACAGAGGGTGCTACCACGCTCGCAGAAAAAAAACACTGGTCCATCCACTCGGTCCCACGACTCAAGTGACGCCACGTTCAGGTGCCGACCACATGTGCCAAGTACAGAAGCACAGTGACAGAAAATGTGAAAGAAAAGTTTCAAAGGGTGCCGGAGCGGGGAGGGTGGCCTCGCACTGCGGGCCGCCCTTTGTCCGCTAGTCACGTCTGCGCATGAATTGCGGCGGCGGCGCAGTCAAGCTACGACGCCAGCACGCCAGGGGGAGGGGGGAAAAAGAGAAAGAGGAGCACGTGGTAGCCTTAGCCTCCATACGAAACGTACGCAGGACACGCAGGAAATATCAACCGACTCTTTCGTAGGACAGGGCCGCTCGGCATCGGAGCTGCGATGCGCTTCTGGCGCATGCCTGCTGAGTTTCTCACTCCTGTCACTGCCCGCATGCGCACGCGACGCTTCCACCCACCCTGCACTCCTCCCCCTCCGATGAGCCACGCCTCGCCAACACACGCCCAACTACTCAGGGGCTCAACTGTGGCTGCTGCGCTTTGCCGCGGCCGTGAAGTACCTGTGGCGCTGTACGCGGCTGGCGCGCGAGCACCCTCTGGCTGGAACCTGCCCCTCGGCTGGGCTTCCACCAGCCTGCCCGGCGTCTGCTCTGCCACACTCCGCCGCCCCTGCCAATTGAGATGTCCCTGGAGCGCCTTCAGCTGCTCGTTGGAGCGCCATGAGCTGCAAGCGGGCCTCCCGCGTCTTCGGCAGGAAGGTGGGCCTGTTCCTCCGGGGGCCGCCACGGCAGAGCCCATCGGGGATGTGCTGAACGGCGTTGGCCACGAAGCCTTGGATCTTCGCGGGGAGCACCTCGAGGCTGGCGCTGCTGGGGTCGTGCCAGCCCAGCGGCCGGCGGCCTTGGAAAGCTTTGTAGAAGTCACTGGCCACCTGCGGCGTCAAGAAATTGACGAACGCCACGCCGCGGCCAGCAGTGTGGCGGCTCCGCAAGTCTGTGCGCACATGGAGGAAATCGTAGAGGCCTTCGAAGCCCGCCTCGTCCACCTCCGCCATGAAGCGGTCCTGGGAGACAGTGTCGGGGATGTGCCGGACCATCGCGGTCGTCATGTCGCTGTCGAGGGGGCTGGGGGACTTGAGGGGGCAAACGCTGAAGCATTGCTGTGCCACAGGGCGCGCCAGCGCGGCCAGCCTTGGCGCCACGGTCCGCTCCGAGACAGCCCCGACTGGGCCGAGGCTCTTCCAGCGCGGCGATGGCGGCGTCGTGCCCGGCGCACGGAACGGCGAGTGGCTGTCCGCATTGGCGGTCCCGTTGCCGAGCTCGCTCGGGCAGCGGGCCACGGCGGCGGACGCTTGCCTTGGGAGGCCTGCCTGGGCTGGCAGCGGGGCGCCCAGCACGGCATGCAGCGGGGAGCCGCCGACCGCACTGGCTCCCTCGAGCCGCACCAAGAACGCAGGCTGCCTCGGCGCTACCGCGCCAGCCTCAGGCGCCGGCAGCCACGCGAGGATAGTGCCACGGAGCGAAGGCTGGTGCTCCGGGAGCCGGGCGGCGATGCTGATCTTGGCGGGCTCCATCTCGGTGCGTCAGGGTGCGCCCCCCGAGCCAAGCTCCTGTGCCTCGCCGTTTGAGGTGGCGTTGCAACGAAGCGCCCACGTCGTACGGCGAGCGCGGCTCGGGTTACCCTTAGGGCCGTCAGACCGGCTGGAGCCTCCTGCCGGCTGATGCTGAGCCTGAACGGCTGGGTCGAGGCCGATCTGCCACCGTAAAGCACGAGCGTGACCTCGAGAGGGCGTGTCAGTAACGTTAGGTCGGGCGTGTCCTCCTACAGGGGGATTTTGGACGGAAAATAAAGAACAGTCAGAAACAGATTTCAAATCATCAAACATTGTTAAAGCATCGTCCCCAGACCATTTGTTGACTATTTTTGAATACTCCTCCTGTAGAGGGACGCGCCCGACTTCACAGTAACGTGAGAGCCTTTGCCGAAGGCCCACGGCCCCGTGGAGATGCCCCCAGCAAAAAAAGATTCCGATGCGGACAGCGCCTCCGCACGAAGAGAACATAGCAGTACCCCTCCGGAGCTGGCGTTGTTCTAAACCCTCTTGCCAGCAGTACAGTCGGATTTCATCGGACAGGACACGCGAGAGGACAAAAGACCCTTCCGAGGGCCACCTCGCCATAGGAATGCAGGAGGCACGGGTCGCGAGACACAGGACACAAAGGTACCCTTGATTTGGCAGGCTCGACCTACTAATCCGGGCCGGCTGTGTGGAGGGCAACTCCTGGGGACCGCTGGCCGAAAACCGTTCGACCACAACATGTGCCACAAGTCCACCCGCGACCAGGAGGTCACGTTTCACAGCTTGCGCCGAAGTGCAGCTTTTAGAGACTGGCTTGGCCCTGACCCCCCCCAACGATCGTTCTGAAGATCAGAGAGGTAGGGTTAGGTCGGGCATGTCCTCCTACAGGCGGATTTTGGAAGAGAAATTAAACATAGCCAAACATATCCGAGCATAGCCAAGAGCACGACAAGTAGTCCCCATACCATTTTTTAGCTATCCTCGAAGATTCCTCCTGTAGAGGGACGTGCCCGACTTAGAGCTAGGGTAGGGGCACCCGTCTCGCACTGCCTTCCCGGACGTCCAGAAACTATCTGCCCTGTAGGGGGTCCTCTGGGGCCTCTGGGAGGACGAGAAAAGATAGATCTCCTCATCAGGGATCGACCTAAACAGTGTTTCTCGTTTCGTTTTGTTTTCGTTGTCCTTCGTCGTTTTGTTTTCGAGCCGCCTCTGCCGCAAATTGACGTTGAAGCGAGAACGGCCCAGGAAATCGCCAGAACGCCGCTCATGGGTCGACACCTGCTCTCCTCATCTTGCTCGGCCCCCATCCTCGGCACCTCGCCCCCCCCCCTGGGCCACCCTGTCTGCTCACGCGTGCACGCACGCAGCAGGCTCAAGCGATCACACTCGGGCGATGGCAGAGCTGGGTTTAGTGGAACTTGGTTTAGTGATGTGTACTGGGGGAGGACCCCCCTGCCCCGCTCCACTAACCGGAACTGCCGTCACCCGAAAAACACCGGCTACGGCAGACCTGGTTTGGTGACTCTGGCCAATTCAAGGGCCCCGGGGCCCTACCACGGACCGGGCCCCCTTGCCTGGAGTCCTGGCTATACCCGACACGCCTTCTGTAGAGGGACATGCCCGACGTCACTGAAGGGGCCCTGGGACACACAAATAAATACACACAAATGACAGAATTCCTCATCTTTTCTAATATATATTTTTTTTTTTCTCCCCCCCCTACTTCCCATATTTTCCCATATTCTCTGGGGAATCGACGATTAATTGTGTCTGTGTGCTTTTTCCCTTCCTGGTTCACCTTCGGCCCTGGGACACACAAATAAATACACACACAAATGACAGAATCCCCAAGATTTCCCAATCTTTTCTTGGTCTTTGTCTCCTCCCCCGCTTCCCATATTTTCCCATCCTTTCTGGGGAATCGACGATTCATTGTGTCTGTGTGCTTTTTTCCCCCTCCTGGTTCACCTTCGGCCCTGGGACACACGAATAAATACACACAAATGACAGAATCCCCCAGATTTTCCCATCTTTTCTTGGTCTTTGTCTCCTCCCCCGCTTCCCATATTTTCCCATCCTTTCTGGGGAATCGACGATTCATTGTGTCTGTGTTTTTTTTTTTTCCCCCTCCTGGTTCACCTTCGGCCCTGGGACACACGAATAAATACACACAAACAACAGAATTCCCCAGATTTTCCCATCTTTTCATCGTCTTTGTCTCCTCCCCCGCTTCCCACATTTTCCCATCCTTTCTGGGGAATCGACGATTCATTGTGTCTGTGTTTTTTTTTCCCCTCCTGGTTCACCTTCGGCCCTGGGACACACGAATAAATACGCACACAAATAACAGAATGCCCCAAATTTTCCCATCTTTTCCTCGTCTTTGTCTCCTCCCCCGCTTCCCATATTTCCCCATATTCTCTGGGGAATCGACGATGAATTGTGCCTGTATGTCTTTTGGTTCCCCCTCCCGGTTCACCTCCGGCCCGCAACCGCTCGCGCCTCCGACGTCCGGCCCCTCGGCGGGCCCCTCTGGGGGGGCTACCCCCCGACGCAGCGCGGCCTGGGCGAGGCGCGCAGCTGCTGGCGCGCCCCCCCCCCCAGCAGACCCTGACCTTCCAGGGAGCTATTTTTTAGCACGGGAGGCCCCAACAAAAAACCTCAAAAGCTGAGCGAAACAGCCGGAAACCAAGACGTAGATTAATGGCTCTGGGATGGGTTTTTAAAAGTCGCGTGCTATTTTTTAGCCCTCCTGGAAGGTCAGGGCAGAGGGCGGGGAGCGCCTCCGGGCGCCGGCGAGCACGGCCGAGCACGTCGTGCGTGCCGGGAAAGGACCTCGGCGAGGCGCAGCTGCTGGAGCGCACCCCCGGCGGAGGCGGAGGAGGCGGAGGAGGAGCAGGAGAAGGGGGAGGGAGGAGGAGGAGGAGGAGGAGGAGGAGGAGGAGGAGGAGGAGGAGGAGGAGGAGGAGGAGGAGGAGGAGGAGGAGGAGGAAGAGGAGGAGGAGGAGGAGGAGCACCTCGGGGAGCCGGCGAGCACGGCCGAGAGCGCCGTGCGTGCCAGGAGGGCCTCGGCGAGGCGCAGCTGTCGGCAGGCCCTCCCGACCCCGACCTTCCAGGAGGGCTAAAAAATAGCACCCGACTTAAAAACCTATCCCAAAGCTATTCTACGTCTCGGTTTTAGGCTGTTTCGCTCAGCTTTTCAGGTTTTTAGGTCTCCAGTGCTAAAAATAGCTCTCTGGAAGGTCAGGGGAGGCAGGAGGGCCTGCAGGACACGTCGAGGGCGTCGGAGCATGCATCGTACGTCTGGCCGGCTCCCGCCATCCCTTAAAACGGGGCTAGGATCGGGATAAATCGCTCCAGAGCGTTTCGGAGCGCTCTCAGAGCGTTCCGGAACGCTCTGGAGCGGCCGCGGCGCCAAATACATCCTCCAAACCCGCCGATTCTCAGAGATTTCGAGTTATCCCGATCCGATTTTGTCCCGATCTTCGCGTCGTTTGATCCCTGTAGAGGCCTCCTACATGGGGTCCGAGTATCGGGCCGGACGAAGGGGGAGATTGGGAAAGGGGGGGTTGCGACATCTGCTGCATGCAGCTGGTTTCGGCCCCACCGAGGGGCCCATTCCTCGATACATGGCCGCCTCCAGCGCCGGGAGGCGCCAGGAAAATCAGCTGCGTGAGCTGATTCTCACCCCCCCCCTTTGCTATCCTCCCCTTTCGCCCGACCCGAGAGTAGATTGAAGTCGGGCCTGTCCCTCTACAGGAGGAGAATTCAAAAGTCGTCGAAAACTAGTCAGGGGACGATCTCTGGAATATCTCTGGTCATTTTTGAATTTTTTGGGGGCCTTTTATGATTTTCCGTCCCAATTCCGCCTGGAGGGGGACATGCTCGACCTGAGAGCGCATGGGGTCGGCGGCTTGCGCCGCATCGCCGATGCAGCGGCGCTGCATCGGCGACGTCGCCGATGCATCGGCGTGGAGAGTAGTCGGGCTCCACGTCGAGCCGCGGCGCCGATGCAAATTGGCGATGCATCGGCGATGCGGCGCGCTCCCGAAGGCCTGCAGGATAGGGCCTGCAAGGAGTGCCGCGCGCGTCGGAGGACAGCTATACCGTGCAAGTGGCCGGCTCCCGCCGTCCCCACAGAGGCCTCCCGTATGGGGTCCGAGCAGATGGGGTCGGCGGATTGCGCCGCATCGCCGATGCATCGGCGCTGCATCGCCGATGCGTCAGCGCTGCATCGGCGATGCGTCGGCGTGGAGAGGCAAGTCGGGCTCTCCGCACCGAGCCATGCAGCGCCGAGGCACATCGGCGGTGCCTCGGCGACGTCGGCGCGATCCTCCAACCCCGTCCATCGGCTACATGCGCAGGAGTGGCCCTGGGTAAGAATTGCACCAGAGAGAAACCCCAAGCAGTGGATGGTTTGAAATGGGATCGAGAGATCGATAAGGAGATCGACCAAGAACCCGGGAACCCGAGAATCCTGAACCCACCGAAATCGGCCTGGAACCAATGATCAAGAACCCGGGAACCTGGGAACCCAGCCGGCCACCAACATCGGCGGAAAAACTTTCGCCAAATCTTTCAATATCCGCTAGGACCCCTTCAGTGCAAGCACCGATTGGGGAATGGCCTTTGGTGCGCGGCCGTCTTGGGGCCCGCAGGGTGGCCGAACACAAGCATGCAAGCCGCTGCTACCTCTCCGCTTTCAGCCATCTGGGGACCCAGTTTGTGCCCGCACCATAGGTCACTCCGGCGAAAAGTCATTCTTACGCCAAGTCGAATCTGCTCCGACCCCATCTGGGATGCCCAGAGCCCCCCCGCGGGCCCTCTCGAGCAGCTGCCGCTGCTTCAACAGGCTCTCCTCCGCCGCCGCGGAAGCCTCGCCGGCGGGTGGCCAGCGCCGCGGCGCTCTCCAGAGGGGCAACGGCGGCGCGCGAGCTGGATGGGCACGCTCCGTTTTCCCAGAGCGGAACAACCTCGACGTGCTGGGCGACTGCCCGGGCAAGCAACAGAAGGACCTCGACGAGCACGCCTCCACGAGCACATCTCGACGAGGACACCTCGAATAGCACGCCTGGAAACTTCCTGCGCCAGGCGTGCCCGTCGAGGGCGGGCAACACAAAAGGGCATGGCTCCAGCGTAGGCCCGAGACGGTGCTTCTGCGCAGTCGATGGGGTGCAGTCTTCGGGACGTGACTTGTTAAATCTGGCAGCCAGCGTGGACTCTAAACAGTATGTTGTAGCCTACTCTGCGATGTGATATGTGCGATGCAGCCTACACAGCGCGATACATGCAATGCAACCCGTGCCATTCCAATACATGCTGGGCAACCTCCGAACTGCAGTCGATGCGGTGTAATCCCAAGTCGCACTACACATTGCTTGCGCCAAGCTATAGCCTGCTGTGCTGTGCCCTTCTCTGCTACGCTATGTGCTATGCAATGCGGAGCCATGCTACGCCATGCTACGCTAAGCTGTTCCACGTGAGCGGACGCGTGCGGATGGACGAGTGCGAATGGACGAATGCAATTGGCGACGGCGGACGGGCGGCGCCGGGCGGCGACGAGCCGCCCAAACCGGCACCAGGGCCCAGTGCAAACGGCGGCGACGGGCGGCGACGGAGGGCGACCAGCCAGCCGGACCAGCGCCGGGGCCCAAACTGCGACGGGCGGCAACGAGCTGGCCGGACCGCCACTGGGGCCCAGTTAACTGAGAACAAAAGCAAGAACCCCCGAGTGTGAGCACTGCTCGGGAAACTGTGCTCGAATACGTGAACACAAACGGTCGAGCAATTGTCTGACCCACCCATCCGCAACAACATGTTGGCAGCACCAAGGAGGCCGTGTGTGCAGTTTCCCGTCGGATCTTGCCTGCAAATCCCAGCAGGGGCAATGAGGCGCGGACCCTTCCCATGCAGATGCATGACTCGGGCGGATGACTGATGATGATGATGATGATGATGATGATGATGATGATGATGATGATGATGATGATGATGATGATGATGATGATGATGATGTCGGGGGTGGGCGGACCCGAAAGACATCTCATTCAACACAGGTCCATGTGAGCGCGTGTGGACGGCACCTGCCTACTCCCCCGGAGGCGGGCGCTGGACGAAAGCGGGTCCCGTGCACGCAACCTCCGCGACGTGGCCAGAGAGCTGGCAACCCTGCGCGCAGCCAGCGACGCAGCTGCGGACTCCGCGACACGCGCCTGCGAAGGCGACCCAACCGTCAGCGGGGCCGCCGCCGTGCAGCTCTTGGACCTGCTCCTTAACGCAGCGAACCTGCGGGGGAATCTGGCCGAGTGGCTGGGGAAGGCAGTCACGCTCTGCATACGGCCCCACTTTCGCTCGCTGCTGCTCCCCGTGCTCGCGGTGCGAGGCGTCGAACCACACGCCGTTTGACGTCTTGGCTCACTGGTTGGACAGGGCTGGGAGGCGCGGCCCCCAGCAACTGTGCGACGCTACCCGTCGTGCCACGCGTATAACTGCGCCGGGATCTCGAGATGCATGACGACATGCCAACTGCCATGCTGCGAGCCTTTACCCATCTCCCGGCAAGGGGGGAGGTGCGCCAGGCAGGTCGGCGCGCAGGCGAACATATATATATATATATATACTCACAGAAGCGTTGGTCAGGGCAACCGCCGCGGCCAGACCACCGCCCGGGCCGCAAGGCCAGGAGCCCCGGAGCGACTGCGAAACGGGCGGCCCTGCCCAATCTGCTTGGACTCGCAGGGCGGCGACGGGACCACCGGCAAGGGACGTCGGAGCCGACCTGGCCAGCTCCCCGCGAGCTTTCACAGGACAAGGACTTCTGGGCAATGCTGGGATCGCCGTGGCATCACCCGGACCTCCAGCGGCGGAGCAGGTACGGAATATATCCTGGAAGCTGTGCGGAACCACGAGCAGAAAATGCCACGTCCGATCAGCCCCCCACCGCCTCCCCCAGTTTTCCTGGCCGAGGACGTGACAGCCAGGAACATAGACAGCCTGCTTGGAATCCTGGCTGCTGGGGCGGCCACGTGCACGGTTCTGGTCTGGGGAGCTGATGGTGCCACTGCTCCGGGCGGCACGGACCCCATCTCGCTCGTGGCGGGCCCGCCGGGGACGTGGGGGCAGCGGGTGGCCGCGAGGGCCACGCGCCTGACCCCCATGGGACGGCCTTTCCTGCACGGTGCCAGCCTACCCAACAGTATGCAGCTAATAACGACGCGGATCAACATCGACGTCCGCCCAACACGGAGCCTCCGGGCACCCGCTGTTGCGGTGCACTGGGGAGGGCGGTGGTACCCGATTCGGCCAACTGCCGCGCTGCAGCACTCGTGCGTTGGAGCGGGCCACCACCTGGAGTGGGCCACCTCCGGTGGCCGTGGGCAGGGACCCCGACCTCCTGCAGCAGGGCGTGGAGCCGCTTGCGCACCACGCCAGGAGGACGTACGCGCCCGCAGGTGCGAGCCACGCCAGGTGCCGCCGACCAGGCCCGGGACCGCATGCACGTCGGCGGTGGACAAACCTCCCTTTAGTAGACCTCCCCTTAGTGAAAACGGCCTGAGACCGAAACCAAAGGACCTGGACCCGCAAAAATGACGGCCGCGACGCCCTCTCGCGAACCGAAAACGGCCAATTCCTTAATCGACGCGTCAGGATAGGAGGTCTGTCCACCTCCGAGCACGCCCAAGCCCTGCAGCTCCACCCCACGGGCATCCCCGCCAGCGTCTGGCGCAGGCGCGGCTCCGCGGACGTGGCCCACGCGCCGAGCCGACGGGGCGCCCCGTGCCCGGCGTGCGCGCACGCCGCACGCGCGGTCAGCGCCCTGGGCCACTCGGGAAGGACTCGCCGCACCCCGACGCCCCCCAAAATTCGCGTGCCCGAGCGGGTCGAGGCCCCGATCCCGCGGCACCCTGCAGACGCAGAACCAAGGGCCCCGGCAGAGCGGGGGCAACCGCGGGCGGTGGAACCAAACCGCACAACACCATCGGGGCCGGTGGGTGGCGCCCCCCCGTGGTCTGCGCCAGCGACCTGGAGGATGGACACCACCGGCGCTGGAACATAGCGGACTGCGGCCACGGGGAGCGCCGGGCTATATGTGACGCAGTGGAGGCCGCAGCAGGCAGGGGGGCCATAGCTCAGGTTCTGCCCGTAGACGCGTGGCACCCTGACGGTGACGACGACCAGGATATGTTTCAGGTCGTCCTTGCCCCAGGGTGCGAAGGCGCCATGCACGATGCTTTCGGCGGCAGGGGAAACATCTGCGTCGGGGGGGGCACAGCCTGAGAACCTCTCCCGCGACCACGGCTAGGGAGCAGCAGCGGGATGCACCTGGGATGAACAGGTCGGCCGAGAAGCACATAGATGCCATCGCGGTACCTGATATCAGTGCCGCGCGCAGAGCTGCCATACAGCCGCAGATCCTGCAGGTCACCAGGCTGGACCGCCCGGGGGGCTCTAGTCGGCCACCTCCTGGCTAAGCATCTGGACCTGGACCTTTGGCTGTCCTCGTACCATGGCTTTAGAATGATGAGCGCGCGCGCAGGGCACGTATCCTGCAAGATCTGCGCAAGGCTGTGGGCAGCCCCGTTCTCCGACGCTGACGGGCCTGTAATAGCCGCGCCAGAGCCACAGCCCATAACAAGCCAATGCGTCAACCGACCACGTGGAACCCATGCACCCGCATGCCCCGCTCACGCGCCAACAATACTCAGTCAACACCAGGCAGGACGCCAGCGCCAGGGATCTGGCGCACAGCCTGGTCCCTGGGGACTACGTCGTATTCGCAGTCCTCGCCGGAGGGTAGGTCACAGCAGGTGCCCCTGGAGAAGCAGCTGCTTTCACAGCCACCACGCCGACCTGGATGCCCTTGGTCCTGCCCGCGGCCGCTGACGCGCAAGCAGCTAGCAGCAACCTCCAGAGGCCTTCGGTGCAGATCCGGGGACAACTAGTCACAGGAGACGTCTGGATTGCTCGGAGGACTGCGACAGCCCCACCTCCGCCGACGCCCAACGCCCTGGGCATGGAACCCGCGCGCACGCACGGCAGACCGGCAGCCCCGAGAGCTAGCGTGCTGCGGCCGCTACCGGGACCCACGAGGCCCATCAGATGCTCGACCATCTACCAGCTCGTGATGCGGACAGCCTCCGACGACCCAGCCCCAGCCGCACCCGTACTGGCCCCACACGATACACTGGCCGCAGCTCAGCTCCTGCTGGGCAGCTTTAGGGCCGTACTGCCCCTTCATAGGCAGCACGACCTGGCGCGGCGGGTGAAGGCTAGGATCATAATCGGCATGGGATGTGAACAACATCAACGGCGCCCTCTGGCGAGGCATGCCTGGACAGTGGCCCTGGCCTGCTGGCTCGCCCAGCATATTCAACCAAGCCAGCTTAGCCGGGGCCACCACGACCAGCTCCTGCGGGAGCCAGGAATCGGCGAGGCCATGAAAAGGCTCACGCCCCCTCGCCCAATGGTCCCGCCCATTCCCCTGACCCTGAGCACACAGCGCACAGCCCCTCCCTCCACGTGCCAAGGGCGAGAAGCGCGGATGAGAGGGAGGAGGAGGAGGAGGAGGAGGAGGAGGAGGAGGAGGAGGAGGAGGAGGAGGAGGAGGAGGAGGAGGAGGAGGAGGAGGAGGTGTCCAGAGGGGGCCCTGTGCGCAGCCCGAAGCCTTGCCATCCCTTTTCCTGGCAACTGGCGGCTCCCTCCCGCGCCACCATGCGTGTCCGTGGGCCCGCCCGCGCGATCTGCTCGAGGCTTCCTTGCAAACTGCAGCCAGGAATCTAGACAAATCCCGCAGTCGATTGCTCGGGTGGGGGGGCCACTGGTTTTCAACAAGTGGCTGCTGCCCTGGCGCCGCGTACATTCGTTTTGAACACACTTCTGACAATTACGCGGATGGAGCGCCAATCGTTTTCACAATACGGCTCTCGCCTCAGCGCCGCGTGTATTCGTCTCAGAGGAGTCCAACAGCTGCACGGACGTCTGCCGGCAGGTTCGCAAAATGGGCCCATCGCCCGAGGTGTGATCTGCCGGCGCCCTCGTTTGCACACCACGGTGCGCAGCGTCCAGCCCTCCTGCTGCTCTGGGCCGTGTGCGCCAGAAGACATGGGGGCAACGGAGGAGCCCGCGGTCCGAGGATCTCGAGCTCCAGGGGGCCCGCTCGGGGATCGACACTCTGGGCCCTCTGGGCCGCTTGTCGGCTCTTGGGGGCCCGCTTCGGGCCCCAGCCGGCAAATCTGCAGTCGACTGTAGGCGCCCCCAGCGTGGGGGCCCACGAGAGCCAGACCAAACCGACAGATCTGCACCAAAGGTGTGGAACAAAAACGGGAAGCCCGACGCGATGCACCCGGGAGCTGTCGCAGAAGCGGCTTTGCGAGGACTTGGGGCGGGTCGGGCTCGTCGGGCCATCGGGTTTGGGCTCGTCGGGCTCGTCGCTCTTGATCATTGGCCCGCCCTGGGTCTCCTCGGCTTGGCTCCCTCTGGGCTCTGGGAAGGGGCGAAGAGGAGGAGGGCGGAAGAGGGGTTCGCGGCTGGCCTCGCATCAGGTCGGGCATGAACTCCTACAGGCGGATTTTGGACGACAAATAAAAGCAGAGTCAAAGATTACGCACAATGCTCAGAAATAGTCAAAGCATCGTCCCCAGACAATTTTTTAACTATTTTGGAATACTCCTCCTGTAGAGGGACACGGCCGACTCAAGCCTCGGAGGCTGGGGCCAGGCTCAGCAGAGAGCGGGGCGGGCAGAGAGGGGGGCTGATTTCGTGAGCTCCGAGCCGCCCCCCCGGGCAGCCAGGCGCGCCTGCTGGGCCCGCGGTGGCGCTTCCAGGGTCCTTTATTAGGACCCTTTTCGGTCCAGCTCCCCCTGGGGGCGTGCAAACACGGATTAACGCTATGCTGCTCCCATCGTACTTCAAAGACCACATCCCAGAAATAATTCCGAGCACCCGGAAAAGTGCCGAGGGAATGTCGAAGCAGTGTCGAAACAATGTCGGACGAGTGTCTCCGAGGGCCCGACACGTGAAAATCCACGAGTTTCGGTACTTTTTTCTGGCGCTCGAAATTCTGTCTGGTGGTCAAGGCTAAAGTACGATGGAACATCATAAGATTAGCGATCCATGAATCTGGCGCGCGGTCCCCAAATCCATGGATCGGGGGAGGTGCCCTCCCCAAAATGCGGACGGCGCCGCCTCGCTCGGCGGCGGAAATCTGCGATTTCCCATGGCAGCGGGACCCGTCGCTACAGTGGGGGCAAATCCACGAGAAACCTTCCGCAACCCTGAGACTCCAGGACGTCCATGGATTTTTGGTGTGTGGGGACCTCTCGTGCTTTCCGTCGCAGAACCATCGACACCCAAGGAACCCAGGGCACCCTGGAGGCAACCAAGGTGTTTCTCGGAATGAGTCTCCAGATGTAATCCACGCCCCCGTGATCCATGGTTGCTCGGCGGCGACGATAAGGGGCGACTAGCCCAGGGGCGGGCATTGCAAGTATTCATCTGGGAGCCTTTCCGAAGACATAGATCGTTGGCGCACCTGAATACATGTATTCCAAATCCCTTATTAATCGTCCCCGGGGTCTGGTTTTTTAAGGGACCTTTGTTGTCATTGGGGGGGTCCAATTCGTTAGGGCGCTTTCTTTGGATTGCAGCTTAGGGGTTCTGGTTTATTAAGGCGCCCCATCGAAGACGGGGTCCCTCTGGGTTGCGACCGCTGGCTCCCCGCAGCCCTCGATCCCCCTTCGCTTGCTGTCCCCGTGGTGCCGCCGCCCGCCCCGGGGGCCAGCGCCCCCTCCGCCCCCGGCCTGCGGCTCCACGGCCCCCCCGGGGGTCCACCGAAGGGCCCCAGAGGAGCCAAGGAGGAACTTGCCTTGGGTCGGACATTGCACCCTACAGGCAGATTCTGGAGGAAGCATGAAACACATTCCGAACATACCCAGACATGTCAAGACAAATAAACGAAACATCACCCCCAGACTATTGATACTTACAATTTTGGAATATTCCTCCTGTTGAGGGACAGGCCCGATTTTAAACTTGCCAAGAGCCTCCAGGGACACGCCTCCCCTCACAAAGATCCCCTTAAGACGAGGGCGGGGCGAGGAGAACTTTGGACGGGGATGAATCGGGAATCTCGGAACTGTCCATCCAGAGCGTACCGGAACGGTCTGACAGCGCTCCAGGACGCTCGAATCCCAGAGCGTTCTGGAACGTTCTGGAGCGATTCGCCCTCATCCTGGGCCTGCCTGGGTCCCTGAGATCCGACGTCGCGAATGTGTTGAGACATGCTGAAAGATCACGTCCACAGCCCTGGACCCCATCTTCCTGCGCCATCTCTCGAGCGGGATCGATCTGTGACGGCCCGGGGGCCCGAAGCCAGGCGAAAGCGCTCTTCGCGAACAAACTGCCACGCCAGGGCCCCGAGGAAAACCCCGCAACATTTCCGCGCGCGCGCTGTGCACACCGCTGCGCGAGCAGCGCAGCCGGAGATCGGGATCACGAGGGCCCCGAAAACCGGGGACACGGACGAGGGGGGGGGGGGCATCTGCACGAGGCGCCCGGGCGCCACCCCCCCGTGGCCTGGCAGCGGCCCATCCTGGGCCCTGGCGCGGTGTGCAGACCAGATCCTGGACCTGCTTGCGGGAAGTTGAGTGCACCTTATCTCTTTAGAGGAAGGAGAAGTCGTCACAAGGCTTCCGTAGGAGAACCTGCGGAAGGATCGTTCGCACGCATCCATCCGACTCGTTGCGAACAACATCTGCTGAGGCTCTGGGTGGGGATGGGGATAGCGTCGATGCCCCCACGCGGCCGCGTGCGCAATGAGACGACGCGGGCGCGGCGCGGCGGGCCTGAGAATCGCGCGCGCGCGCGCGGCGGCGGGCGGACGGCAGCCTGGGCGCCGGCGCCCGCCGCGGGCTCTGCCATGGCGGCGCGGGTGCGCCCCCACCGGGCCAGGACGTCGACGGCGCCGCCGCCGCGGAAGGAAGGTTGGGGGGGAGGCGAGCGGGGGCGGGGAGAAGGGGAGGGAAAAGAACGAGGAGGAGGAGGAGGAGGAGGAGCAGGAGGAGGAGGAGGAGGAGGAGGGAGGAGGAGGAGGAGGAGGAGGAGGAGGAGGAGGAGGAGGACTCTGCTGGACTCTGCTGAGATGCACCCACGTGCGATCACGCATCAGGGCGGGCGGGCCCTGGGGTTGCGCCTCCTGCCGCTTTCGCCACCTCCAGCCCGGGCGCCCTGCCTTCCCCTCTCGCCGCCGTCCGCCGCCGCCGTCGACCAGCAGCGGCAGGGGCCTCGGCAGCCCCACTTTACTCGGGTGGGGCGGGACAAGGCACGGGGCGGTCCTCCTCCGGCGGCATCGCCGCCGCCAGCTCGCGGGAGGAGGAGGAGGAGCAGGAGGAGGAGGAGGAGGAGGAGGAGGAGGAGGAGGAGGAGGAGGGGGAGGAGGAGGAGGGAAGAGGAGATGACGAAGAGGACGACGAGGACAGGGGAGACGCCGACGGGGAGGAGGAGGAGGAGGAGGAGGAGGAGGAGGAGGAGGAGGAGGAGGAGGAGGAAGAACACGGCAATGGGAAGAGCACGTCTTCACGTTGTTTGTTTGTTTGTTTGCTTGCATTGTTTTGTTCTTCTCTATATCTATATATATATGATTATTTTTCTCTCTCCGGAGCGAGCACCAATCCTGACGATCGTCATGCAGCGAACGGCTGCTCGAGCGCTGGCCAATCGCGCGCGGAGTTGGATTGGTTCCGCACGCCGACCCCAGCGCAACGCACTACGTCCCAAGATCTGCCAAACCAGTCGACGCACGAGCCTTCGCCTGCGCGCGCGCGAGCGCTATCCAGGCAAGCCAGGAACTTAGTGTCTGGCCGATCACTGGGCGATCACACACACACACACCCGATCGCGTGATCGGATCACACTTCGGCTCATGGGGACGATCACTGGGCGATCACCGCAATGAGCACAGCGATCACGGGCCGATACCTGGGATCCGACCGCTGTGATCGGGCGAACCCGCTATCGGTCGCCGATCACAGCCGACCAAACCCCGCTCCTGATCAACCCCAAGGGGCCGTGGCGTCCGCGCACGCCCACGTGACACGAACATCCTGCGTTGTCGTGTGACGCAGCTGGGAGACTCCAACGGGCGGGACCCACGGCCTCCCGAATTCCGGGCGAAGGTGTCGCGAACGTGGCACCCAGAATCCGCGAATCATTTAGCACGACACAGCCGACAGCACGTGACTCTCGAATGCGGCGTGGCCCCCCATGCCCGGGTGACGCGCGAATTCTGCGAGCCGGCGCGGCTCGGGTTTCGAACCAGATCTGTCGTCGTGACCCTTCCGAAATCCGAAGCCGCGCGACATGCTGGATTAGGAGGGCGCGCCGCTGGATCTCCCCAAGGGGTGGGTGGGTTGGGAACCCCGGCCCCCCCCCCCTTCCTCGATCCGTCGTCGGGGACCCCCCCCTCCCTCCCCCCCTTTCCTGCTCCGTCGTTGGGGAAGCCCCCCCCCCCCCCCTCCCTCCATTTCAAAAAAGGGGGTGGGGTTTTCCGACCCCCCCCCTCTTCGGCCGCCAAATTCGAGCCCCCCCCCCTCCCCCCCTTTCGCCACGGCGCCCCCTGGCTCGGGAACCCGACCCCTACCACACCCCGACCACCCGTGACCCTAACCCCAAACCCTAACCCTAACCCCAAACAGGACTCAGTACTCATTATTCACTACCCACTACCCACTACCCACTACACGCTACTCACTACTCACTTCTCAGTACCCACTGCTCACTACCTACGACTCACTACTCACTACCCACTACACTACCCACTACCCACTGCTCACTATTCACTAATCACTACTCCCAACTCACTACTGACGACTCACTATTCACTACCCACTACTCAATACTCACGACTCACTAAACACTACTCACTACCCACTACTCACTACTCACTAATCACGTCTCACTACCCACTAACCACCACTCACTACTGAGTACTCACAATTCACTACTCACTGCCCACAGCTCACTACTCACTATCCACTGCTCGCTACTCGCTACTCCCTATCCCATACTCCTTACACAGTACACACTGCTCACTACTCACTACTCACTACTCGCTACTCCCTACTCGCTAAACGATACGCAATATTCATTACCACTACGCACTACTCACTACGCACTACTCACGACTCCCTACTCCTTACTCACTTGTCACTAGTCACAAGTCACTACTCAGTACTCAGTACTCACTATTCACTACTCACGACGCACTCGTCACTGCTCACTACTCTCTACTCGCTACTCCCTACGCACGTCCCACTACTCACTACCCAATTCTCACTTCTCACTACTCTCACTACTCGCTACGCCCTGCTCGCTACTCACTACTCCCTACTCGCTACTCACTACGGACTACTCCCTCCTCGCTACTCGCTACTCGCTACTCCCCACTCGCTACTCGCTACTCACTACCCACTCCCCACTACCCACTACTCACTACTCACTAATCACTACTCACTGCGCACTACTCACCACTCACAAGTCACTGGTCACTAATCAAAATTCGCTACTATCTACTCACTACCCACGATTCACTATTCGCTATTCACTACTCACAACTCTCTACTCACTACTCTCTACTCACTAGTCATCATCCCGAGGCTTGACCCCCCCCCTTGCGGGAGAGGCCCCCTCCCCGGCCCCCTGTTCGGCGCAAAAGGGGGGGGCGGAGGAGGGGGGGTTCGGACCCCCTCCCTCCCCAGCCCCGGCCCCAGCCCGAGCCCCCTGCCCCGCCAACCCTGGGCATGACCCAGGCAGCCCCAGCCCGAACGTTGCGCGCCAGGGAAAGGCCCCTGGCGGGACCCGCGCGACACGTAGATTATGCGTGCTCCTGCGCGGCGTTCTGGCTGGGACATGCGAATCCAGCGCGCGAGAACCGCCCCCGCCCAAGCCCCGGTCCAGCCCTTGCACCGGCAACGCAACGGCCCCGGTTCCCAGCCCCGGCCCCAGCCCGAGCCCCTGGCCCCGCCAGGCCTGGGCCCTAAGCCTAGTTTCGGCGCTGCACGCCAGAGCAGAGTTCCCAATGTTCCCGCCAGGGCCCGCGTGACACGCAGATTCTGAGTGCCACTGCGCGGCGTTATGGCTAGGACATGCGAATTCAACGGGTCGCGGCGCGCGAGGAGCCCCAGCCCTGGCCCCAGCCCGGCCCTGGCCCCAGTAACCGCCCCGGCCCTTGCCCCGACCCCAGAACCCGCGTGACACGCGGATTCCGCGTGTGCCTCTGCGCGGCTTTCCTGGTTGGCTAGCGCGCCGCAACATCAGCGCTTGCCCCGGCCCGCGCCAGGGCTGTTGGGCCAGATTTGCGTGTCACGCCCAGAACACCGTGTAGGGACACGCGCAATCTGCGTGTCACGCGTGTCCCGCCAGGGGTGGGGGGTGCAATTCTCGTTCTCAGGGCCGGGGCAGGGGCCGGGGCTGGCGGGGCAGGGAGCTGGGTCGGGGCGTGCTCGCGTCGCCCCCAGAACGTTCAGGGGGTACGCGAAACTGGCGCGCAAAGGGTGCGATGCCTAGAGCCCTGGACGGATGCGCGGCGGCCCAGCCGTTCGAGGCTCCATGCCGTGATCGTGGTCGTGCCTGCGCGGCACGCGGCTTCTGCGCGACACGCGGCCCAGGGCTTTGCACCGATCTGCGGCGGCCGGGGTCCGTTCGAGCTTCTGCGCCGCGTGCCAGCTGAACCTTCGCGTCCACGTGGCACGCTCATCCAGGAAAGCGCGCCACTGGATCACCCTGGAATTGAAAGGGGGGGAGGGTGCTCGGAACCAGGGCCGGGCTGGGGCCGGGCCGCGGCGCCGCGACGCGCTGGATTCGCGTGTCCTGGCCAGAACTGCCGCGCAGGAGCACGGAGAATCTGCGTGCCACGCGGGCTCCGCCAGGGCCCTGGCGCGCAGCGCCTGCATGGGCCAGCCCTGACCTTCCAGGAGGGTTAAAAAATAGCATCATTTTGTTTTCAATCCCAAAGCTATTCTACGTCTTGGTTTTAGGCTGTTTCGCTCAGCTGTTTAAGATTTTAGGTCTCCGGTGCTAAAAGATAGCTCTCTGGAAGGTTAGGGAGAGCTGGGGTCAGGGACAGGGCTGGCGGGGCCAGGACCAGGGCTGGTGGCATGCCGGGGGCGGGGGCCTGGGCCGGAACGGTTCTCGCGCGCGACACGCTGGACTCGCGCGTCCAAGCCAGAACGCCGCGCAGGGACACGCAGAATCTGCGTGTCACGCGGGCCCTGCCAGGAGCTCTGCTCTGGCGTGCGCCGCCAAGCGCCAGGGCTCAGGCCAGGCCGAAGCAGTGCCGCAGGGGCCGGGGCCGGGGCTGACCATGGGGCCAGGCTGCATAAGGCACTCGTAAAACGCAATTTGCGTGTGTCCCTGCGCGACGTTCCGGCCGCGACGCGCAAACGCAGCGATGCGGTCTTGGCCGGGGCGATTCTCGTACTGACACGCTGGATTCGCGTGTCCCCGCCAGAAAACCGCGCAGGGACAAGCGGCCTCCGTCTGTCACGCGGGCCCCAGCAGGTGCCCTGCGTTGGCGCGCAGCGCCTGGGCCAGGGTTGGGGCCAGGCCCAGGGCCGGCGGGGCAAGGGGCCCAGGCTGGGACCGGGGCCGTTGCGTTGCCGGGTGCGGGGCTGGGCTCGGGAGGCTTCTCGCGCTCGACAGTCTGGATTTGCATGTCCCAGCCAGGACGCGCGCGCAGGGACACGCAGGGACACGCAGAATCTACGCGTCACGGCCTTAAACTCCCTGCCCCGATCTCGGGCGAATCACTGGCTCACCACGAGCCGATCACTAGCCAGCCTCCTCCAATGAATCCCGCCCCTAACACGTCCGTCCGAGACCCCATGGGCGCGCGGCGCACGAGATTTGCGCGTCGCGCCTGGGCGAAACGCGAACCCTGCGCGACTTGCCCGCGCCAACAATCTCGGGCCTCGGGCGGGCTCCCATGCCGCCCCCACGCACCCAGAGCTCCACCCCAGGCTTTCCACCGCGTGGCGCGCAGATTCTGCGCCGCGCGGC